CCCCAAAACCCCAAAACCCCAAAACCCCAAAACCCCAAAACCCCTTTGATAGATGTTATATTGATTTGGTTTTTATTTTATTCTTCTTATTAAAGACGACTGGACCAGTTGTTAATAAAACCTTTCAAAGCACCTCCAACAAGAGATGGGTTCATTTGATATAGGTTATAAATCTGTGAAATCATTGAGATGAAGTTGTTTTCTTGTGCATTTCCCGTTCCACTGATTGCGGATAAAGCTCCCATAATATTGGCACCTCCTCCTTGATTGCCTCCTAAAATTCCATTCAACGGATTATTATTTTGTAGATCGAAAGGAGCAGAGCCAGGGTTCTTATTCCCAAACATATCATTGATCATGTTCTGCTTAGCTCTAAGCTTGTAATTAAACGAGTTATCTCCATTTCCTCCATACATATCATTTTGGTTGTTTCCTTCTTGAGAACCAAATAAACCACCAAACATGTCTCCAAATGGATTTCCACCTTGGCCTCCTTGGTTTCCGTAGGATCCTTCATTTGGATTATACCCTTGATCTCCTTGCTGGCCTTGTTGGCCAAACAATCCACCGAATGGATTTCCTCCTTGGTTATTCTGACCACCGCCGAAGAGACCTCCGAATATATCTCCAAACATGTCGTTGTCATTACCATTTTGGTCGTTGTCTTGTCCAAATAACCCACCAAATGGATTGCCACCTTGGCCTCCTTGACCGCCTTGGTTGCCGAAGAGACCACCGAAGAGATCACCGAATGGGTCACCACCTTGATTGTCTTGGTTGCCAAACAAGCCTCCGAATGGGTTACCTCCTGGAGGCCCTCTAGGGTCTCCCTCAGAGGGTCTGTTGGGAGGGCCCCATTGATTATCTCTTTGAGGACCAAACTGGTTGTCGTCATCCATGCCTACGGACTCATCAATGAAGAATTGATTGTCGCCTTGAAGGTTCCTTCCGACAAAGCTTCTTCTCGCCTGGCAGAAAACAACTAAAGCAATCACAAAGATCGTTATAGTTTTCATATTTAATAGATTAATAAATTATACTATATCTTTGAATTCAAGAATTTAAGGTTCATAAGGGGTTTTGGGGTTTTGGGGTTTTGGGGTTTTGGGGTTTTGGGG